CCCGCTGATCGAAGAGCGTGGTTTGGAATCAGGCTGGTGTGAGAAAGCTTGACGTTTGTCATCGGAGAAGTATCGTGTCCACTGTCCAGCCACGCTCTTATAGCTTCTGCTTCGTATGTAAAACCGTCTGCTGCTACATGCGGATCTTGCATCACTTCCTGATATGTTCCAAAAGCAGAGAAAAAACAATTCAGATTCAGACCAATTGTGACAATGTCCTTGTAACATAACCATGCAGGTGAGGAGTTACCAGGAAAACAGGACAAATGAAGTACAGAGGAGCTATGCGGCGGTGGTGGTGGTTAGGACCGAAATGGAAAGATGACAATCCAATAGATGCCCTCATGGGTTCGAGTATCCTCCATACTTCCGTTTTGAGGTTTGGACGGTTCTCACCGACAGTCTCACAGCATCTCAATGCCAATCGAGCCAGCTGCTCGGCCTGAAAAAATGGCCAGTCACCTGCTAATGGGTCCAAAAGGTTGTTCAGTGTTCCACTCTCTAAGGCATACTTCACTTCATTTGTTATCCGCAAGGCTGGCCTCCCGGTCAACAACCGTAATAATATAATCCCGAAAGAGTAAACATCTGACCTCGGGGTTAGTTCCTCACTACTGGAGGTTTCTGGATCCAAGTAAGCATACGTACCCTTGAAATCAGTTGAGGAACTTGTTCTTCCATTACCACGAAGTAGAGAACATGTTCCAAAGTCGCATATCTTGCTAACAAGGTTGGCATCGAGAAGAATATTTGCTGGCTTTAGATCACCATGTATGATACCATGAGATTTATTGGAATGAAGAAATATAAGGGCTGCACATATCTCGGTGGCAATGCGTAGTCGGGTTTGCCATGATAAGGGTGGAGAATTGTCCTTGCAGTTAAGCCGGTCTTCAAGGCTTCCATTAGGAAGGAACTCATAAACAAGACTCAAGGCTTCTGGACAAGCTCCAATGAGTGTGATGATATTCGGATGCCTCATTTTACTCAACACATCAACCTGTAATGCAACAAACATCAGTCAAAACTTGTCAACAACTAATTCCTTGAACTTCCTACAGACAGTCTATTTGTAATTATTCGAACACATTACCTCCTGTTGATATTCTATAGGACCTTGGGAACTATTAGGATTCAACAGTTTTATAGCCACCTGTGTATGGCGAAGAATACCAATGTAGATACTGCCATATCCACCTTCTCCGATCTTCAGGGTCGGATCAAAGTGATTAGTAGCATTCTCAATCTCAGAAAAAGAAAAGTCGGTGAAGAACTGAGATAACCGTAAGTCCGGGGTCTGTATATGAATTTTCCTCAGCTCCTCTGCTTCTCTTAATGCTCTGTCACGTTCTGTCTGCAGCTCATCCCGTTCTTTCCTGAAGCTTTGTAGTAACCCTACAGCCGAGACAATCTTCTGTAGGAGCTCTTCAGACGTCCTATCAGATTCTGCTATTCGGTTCTCCAGCACAGTTCTCTGTTCTAGTGCACTTCTGAGTTCTTCCATGATTTCTTCTCGTTCTCTTTTAAGCTTTTCAAGTTCCTCTTTTTCTTTGGCCAGTGCTATCTCAGTTTCTTTCCTTCGCTTCAATTCCTCAGAATAGACATTTTCTGATTGTTTAGCCTGTCGTTGTTAGCAATAATAACGTCAGATTTTTTCTTTTTCTCGTCAAAGATCGATGTATCTAACAGCAAACATGAACTAATTTAGCTCCTTGCTTGTCATTGGCTTTCTCCTTTTGTTAGAAATCATACCTTTCTGATGGCATCAAGTGCAATTTCTTCAGCTTTATGGCGCCTGGATACCTCTCTAAATATTTCTTGTTTTGAATTATGAGCTTCTGCCATAGCTTGTCGGATTTGATCGTAAAATGCATCATCTAAGTTCTCATTCTGAAACAACAGATCATCCAGCATATAACTCCTGAGCAACTGGAAATGCACGGAAAAGCAAAAATCCAGAATGATTTGGAATTATATTCGGACCTACACGACATACCGGGAAACTGCGAGGAGATGAGTGATCAGAATTCTCTTCAACTAAAATCAAGCCTGGTGCACTTTCACTTCGCCCAAATTGCCTCAAATGTGCATCGGATCCTGAAGGGCCGGCTCTGAAAGCTCTATCTCCCTTGTCTGTATCCGACGAGCGATCTGATGATGGCCTCCTGCTTTGTCCAATCAAGCTTCCATCATGCGCCAAATCTTGAACTGAATCATTGCTTTGTACTCGAGAAATATTAGATGGACAGTCAGATTCTGGAGTAGAGAGAGTTTGAACTTGATTGTTCCCACTTATGGAAGCATGTGGAGATGCATATTCCGAATCAGTGTCATCTATTGCAGCTTCTCTATATTAGTACCAAGCAATGACAGACCCGTGGTTATCAAAATCCAAGCTAGACTCACGGAAGGCAATCAAACCATAAAGTAAGTTCTAAAATATCAACAGTTATATGTCACATTGAATCGGTCTGTCTTGTTGTTTGTATGAATCATGTCGAGGCACAGTATGTTGAGAAAATGGATGCGAATTGGCCAAACCTTGTGCAAATTAGAGATCCTTTGCAGGTAAACCATATATGGCAAGTAGCAGGTGCTTCTCTTTGCACAAACATAGCTTTCCTGGACCTCAGATCCCTCATTTTCCTATAAAATTAATCCGATATTTGAAATATTAAGAAACAAACAGCAAAAAGTGCCACACGAGATCATTCTGAGAATCAACGTTGAATTTTCACGCAGAAACCCGCAAACAGTACATACCTAGAGTGGTATCTGTCTGATGCTGCTCCCATGACAAACTTCCTGATTCTGTGCTGGGAGATCAGTCGCACAATTCCCTTCTCGACAGAGTCCATTTCAATATACATCTTCTCTGCTCGGACCTACAGTCATAAAGAACTGATTTTCATTTTTCATACGGAATCAAAGGTATCAACTTTCTGTTATCCATTGCTTAATGCACAATCCCAGACCACTGTGTCACACGAAGGAATTTTAAAGATGTCGATTTTCAGTAAACGTAAACATACCCCTCTCTGCTGGCATATACGAAGGTACTCGTCCAGGATCATATGTACCTTCTCCCTTTCCATTTTCCTGTATACCCTGACCCCTTCCTCATCCACAGAACTAGCCAGAAATTTCGTACCCACTTGAATGATTCAACAAGGAAAACCGTTAAAGACGAGATCATGAACCCCTGAACCAGAAGGCTACATCTTTTGGGCAGATTTACCTCTAAATCAGCCTAAAGTTTAAAAAGATGTCTGAAGTTTAACATCAGCAAACACAATTACACCTTATCCCTTAATTGCAACATTTGTATCATTGCTTAAGCGTGAAAGTTGGATTTCATGTACAGAAGAATGGTATTCATAAATTGACATTAATCAACTTAATCGGGTACGACACTTACTAACAGGGATCATATGGGCAGGCTGGTGAACATGGATGATGCAGATCTTCTTGCCTCCGGTGTTCTGTAATGCCCAGACGAGAGTGGTTTTGTTCTTGGCAACATCTTTCCCCAACGCGACATAGACTTTCTCCTCAATCAGGCGGGAAACTGGTTCCTCCATGATCTCTGTCCTGCTTGACCTCGATCCTGGACTATCTATCCCATGAAATCTCATGGAGCCAATACTTTCCCCCATCATCGGGATAGAACTCACCACTGCCATTGTTAAACCTCTCTCTTCCAATTATCCAGAATCAACAAATAGCAAGTCTCTCTCTAGTGAATCCTCGATCAACAAAACAAAAGCCAAAGGAAAATTCCCCCGAACGCGGACCTCGATCTCGCCCAGGTTTCCGAATTGTTCGGATAAACCTCGAGCTAGGAGAAACAAAGGATAAGGCTTTTGATTTTTTTCCAAACGAACGAATCAAAAGCGATAGATGATCACGGTCACAGTCACAGGAAGATATGAAACTGAAGACTCGAGATTTTCTTGGGAAAATGGAGAAAGAAACAGAAAGTCCGAGCAAGTTACCAGGGAAATTCTAACCCACCAGCCACAAAGGAATACCCAAGCTCAACGCATCATTATAGCTTACATGATTTTATATACGACGATGAGAATATTCCGAGTTGCCAACTCAGATATATATATATCGTGTGTGTGTGTGTGTCAAGCAGACTTTGGCTAATAAAAATATGTAATCGCCAAATGAGATTTTAAGAAAAATGGAACGTCTCAAACTAGGAAGACAAGGCAATCCAATCATAATTATTTTTATATAACCATTAAATCAATTGTATAACATTTCAACTTAGGATATACCATTTTGGATTGTAGCATCTTCTCATATTCATTCGCTGTAATCAATCAGAAAAAGAGGAAGGGGTCATTCATTCATATGTGAGCTGAGTCGATAACATAGCTTTTTGAAGCCCAATATGTTAAAGCCCATATTTGTGAGATGCAACATCAACATACCACCAAAGGGCTTTGGCATATATACATACATATATACAGAAGGCATACATAAAGCAGAATGTAAAGTCTCCCTACCATCGTCCACTCAGTCTTGTTCTGTACAATATCAATATGTAGCAGCAAAGCTAAGCTAATGGGCAAATGAGAAATGCATTTTCTTGCCTTTTTACCTACTCCAGCATGCCAGTGAAGAAGACGATCCAATCCAACCGACGTGTATCCACAATGACGAGCAATCAAGATTTATGCCAACCATTTGGCGAGTGTTTGACTTGATGGAGCTTTTTCTTAGCAATGAGCCGCTTGCGTATCAATTTCTCGGATTTAACAGCTTCCTGAACATTACTATGCACAAGATCGCATAGCTCGTCCAGGGCCAGCATAGGAAATGGCTCCTCTATAAGAACACCCACCTGCAGTATTCGAGTAAACAAAAGGGTGATGATGATTCTGGAACAAGAATGGATGAGATTTTGGGCAGAAGCAAAATTCTAAACAGATGGGTATATCATGGAAGAGGCATGTGTACTTCTTCGATGCAGAAGAGGGAGGCAGCACTGATGAAAGTGGCAGGAACAACTATCCAGTGGCAATCATCCCAGAGAATAATGGGGAGAGTCAAATGCCAGAGGACTAAGAACCTCGACGTTAAACGTGTGTAAGAGAGTGGAATTGGGATGCCCATGAGTTGTTCACAAACACCAATGCCTTCGTGTAGATGCAACATCTTCGATTCCTGCACTTAATTTGATATCAAATGCTCAGACCAAACTATCCAGCGAGAGATGACACTTATATGACTTCAAGCACCAGACTTGGTGTTCATATGTGAAACACAAAAAAAGAATGAAACTTTACCAGAATCACATCAAAGAACCAGCTGGGCATCTCTCAGTTACATATATGACTGATTCATTGTTAAATGGAGTTTCAAAATGAGGAAATGGGAGAGTAAAGGATCCAAGAAAGATACCAACAAGTTTCTCTTCGAATCTTCTAATTTTAGCAACTGAAGGCTCTGAGAAATGAACTCGATGACGCAGCGAGGACGATGCTTTGATTGGAGGACTAAGGACAAATCATCAGCTTCTAGCACATTTTGAAGGTCTCTAGCAATATCTGAACCATAAACCACGTGACACTGCAACATGAAAATTTTAATCAATCACAATCCACAAACACTTGATATCAAGAAACCGAATCAACCAAGCGGAGCGATACCGACCTTAAGCGCAACAGGGAAAGCTGTAATGTACCGCAAAAGCATATCTTTGATGACCGAATCATCGCCTGAGCTATCAACGGAGGCAATCACCTGCCTCGCCAAATCATTGGTTCCAGCGATTACCTTCGTCCAGGCTTTCCTCCCTTCTTCGAACCTCGAATACGAAGCCTCCGTACGAAACACCAGCAGCAGTGCCAGAGCCGGCGCTGTTAGCTGGTATGGCAGCGAAGAGGCTCGAAGAACTGGGAAAATACCGGGCAACCACTGCAAACCCACGGCGGAGTTGTAACCGGAGATCACGACTGCGAAGGTGGTAAAGAAGAAAACAGGGGGAATGAGAGAGAGTATCACGCGCGAAGATAGGCTCGATAGCACGTGCCGCACGTGCCGGAGGGAGCTTCTGTGCTCGAGCCAATTCTCGTGAGTGTAGAGAGAGCGCTTCTGCTGCATCCGCCGCTCCTTTATGCCATCCGCCCAGTCCGGGATGGCTCTGAGGAGCGATATCAGCCTCGAAGTTAGGGTTTTAGGAGCTGAATCGCTGGATTCCGAACCGGAGGAGACGCATGACGGTCTGAGAGGGGAGGGATTACGGGCTTTAGCGGAAGATGTGGAGTACAATCCTAATTCGAGGAGGGATCGGTGGGGAAAGTTGGAAGAAATAGATAGATTCATGGATTGAGACATTGGCGGGAAATCGTACTTTAGGGTTAGGGTTTGGAGGAAGAGGAGAAGAAGATGACGAAGAAGGAGAAGATCGTAAATGACACATTAGCTTTGTGAGGTTGGGATATCGGAGAGTTGCAGGGAAAGGAGAGATAAAATAAAAGGGTAGTTGAAACGGTTGTTCCAGGATTATTTTACGGTCTGTTCTTAAACGACGGCGTTTCACTTCATACCGTCGTTTTCGGGCCTCTATGGGCCATTGGTGGGCCTATTCGACCTATAAAAGAATCTCCCTGCAAACGGCGTCGTTTGCATCGGCCTTTTTTGGGAGTTGGGATTCTAGGGTTTAAGGTGGTGTATACGGAAGGCAATCAAGTTGGTCTCCGGGCGATTTGAGCGAGTAAAATGTCGAAGAAGAACAATTTGGCGAAGAGAAAGAAGCAGCACGAGTTCGATCTCAAAAGTATGTTGCTTTCCATCTCTATGCATGTGTATGTGGTTGGAATTGAGGTGTTCAGCGAATTCGGATTCGTATAGGCTTCTTAGCTGTTTGTATTTTGGTTGACAGAGGAGAGAGAGGAACGAGAAAAGAAGGCTACGAAGCTTCAGGCCAATAAGAACAAGATGAAAGTGAGCACTTTTTCTGTCGCTTAATCTGTCTGGAGTGTTGGCCTATTTGTGTTTGATAACTATAGACGAGAAATTCAGTTGCTTCTATGTCTGTTCAATGAGTTAAACTGGTGTGTCTTGAGGAATGATGTTGTGTAGCCCAGTTGATTTGGTGATTCAGGTTGTTCTTTGGAATTGGGTGAATAGCTGCATACTTTGATCAACCCTTTATTTTTAAATGAAGCATTGTTTTTGTGCTTAATAGTGCGGGATTCTCGGTAGAACATTAAGATTATAGGTCCATTGTGAAGTTTTCCGGCACTTTCTGTGACCTTAGAATGGTCCTTGATCTGTATTTTGGTTTGTTTTGTTGTCAAAGGTTGATGGTGGTAAGAAGAAAAACAAAGGGTCCAGTGGTTTTTCTGTTGGCAAGAAGAAGTTGAAGACCAAACTGACCCCAACCGCGAAGGCTAAAGCCGCCCAAGCAATGGAGCTCGACAAATGAGAAAGTATGTTTCTTTTTTGTCTATTCTAACTACGCTCGAACAAGATCTTCATTTGTCTGTATCACTACATTGAGGAAATCAAGTGGAAGCCTTGTTCAGGCGTCTCATTTTTTATGCATTCTTGACTCCCCACCCAATATGTATGCCTTTGTTATCTTGCACCATGATTGCGTCCTTTGCTCGCATTGGAGACCCATATGTTACCATTTTTACATCTTCAAGGTATCATCATCCTTCATTTGATTAGAACATCTTCAATCTCAGCAATTGTGTTGTCCATTCTACATGCCCCCACTTTATCAGATCACTGTGGGACTGATTTGGTGCAAGGTCGCTAGTTTCTGTTTGAGTTGAATCTGTGCCAGTTCACTTCTGGATATGTACGGTCTTTTATGTCTAATCTTATCAGATCTGATACATTGTGTCTAAAGCCGGATTATAACAATTAACGACATCCTCTCTCAGTTAGGAAGGCTTCCATGTGATGTCGTGATCGGATGTTTTCCAGGAAGATCGATGATGCATATACCATGTGACCGTATGTATACATTATTAGGCTGACGAGATCTTTTTGAGCTTTATTGTTAACGACCCACTAAACATAGCCATCAAGATAGCCACCCTTATCCATAACACAGTTCAATGCTCGCATTTTATTCCCATTAATGCCACGTCTAACACAAATCCACGCATTTATGCAAACGTTACGGCTCTGAATTTAATTTCATATAAATAAAGAAAAAGGGAAATGTGAACAGCACAGTAAGTCTCGAGTTTGGCAAGTTTTATCACGAAAACTGGGTCCTCTGAGACATTTTTGAGATGTCTTCTTCTCTCAGCCTCTCGTCAAATGGGAGTAAAGTGGAAGCCAGTGGGAACCCGGCCAGATCGCCTCAGCACTGCTCCCTACTCTCCGCTCCTTCCTCTTCATAGCGCGTGTAGTTCACTCTCTCTCCTTTATCTTGTCTACGTTATAGTGATGGTGCAAGACTATCGCTTAGATCATCATGGGAGCCAGAAGATTCATGTGGTTATCAGTTTCAATTTTCAAACTCGTATCTTGGCTTGGAAATCAAGTGTTTGTTGTATATTTTTCTGCTGTTGTCTGATTGAAAAGGAACTGAGCCTGGTGCGTCTGATACACGCGCGTAGTCTCGAGTATTACTGTATTAGCTCTCCAGTTGCCAAGTTGCTAAAAAGTCCATAGAGCTACAGTCAAAGTCAGACATTTATTTATTTCGTTTTTGAATTTCCAAAATATTTTTGCGAAAAAAAAAAAGATCCCTTTGTTACTTATCCACAGTAAATGCTTTTCCTTAGGTGTCTGTTGGAGGGTTTTTGTTTGTTTCTGTCTCCGTCTGTCACCCAGTAAAAGAAAAAAAAAAAGGCAAACATCACAAGCAGATGAAACAGAGTGAAGACACAACAGATAAAGGAGATAACCCTTAATCAAACCAGAAACCACCATTGTTGATGGATGAGAAAGCTTTCTAGCTTTTCTTTAGAGAATCCTGTGTCCTTGAGAAGAAAATACACTAGTCTCTTTTCAGTTTTCGTTAAGCTCTTGGCCGCTAAGACACAATCACTTTGCTCATCTCTTCGTCTCTTCTCTTTCTCTTGTCACTCGTTCTTGTTCTTGTTCGGGTGTTGTTGTCTGTGTCAACTGAGTGGAAGCTTTTCCTCTTTCTATGGGTCTAATCTCCTTTGGGTTATGGAAGATGCTTGGTTTTGAAGCTATATAACCTTTCTGGTGAAATTTTCTGTTCGGTAAGCTGGGAAATTTAGCGTGCATGTCTTTTCCTTCAAGCTTGTAATTTGTAAAGCTTCGACCTTTGATTCAGTTTTCTTCTTACCCATTTACCCTTTTAATAAACGCTTCTCCCTTCGTTTTCTGTCCTTACCCCATTAAAGTTCGAGCCTTTTAGGGTTCTGGGAATTGAATCATATAAAGCTTGGTCCTTTAGGGGTAAATGCATGGATAGAAGAGATGCAATGGCGTTATCCGGGTCGGGTTCTTACTATATCCAGAGAGGCATATCCGGTTCGGGTCCTCCGACACAACCGACGTTCCACGGATCGCAAGGCGTTCACCCTTTGTCCAATTCAAACTCTCCGTTCGGGTCAAACCCGGGAGGATCCGCCGGGTTCGGGTCTCCTCCGTTGTCCGCTGAGCATTCTCCGGCGGCGGTTCCGCCCCACGTCGGCATGAATATGGTTGCTCCGCCGCCGGGCGAGGCGCCCGTGAAGCGGAAGAGAGGGCGGCCGAGGAAGTACGGACAAGACGGTTCTGTCTCGTTGGCATTGTCTCCCTCTGTCTCGACGATGACCCCAAACCCTAACAAACGCCGCCGTGGACGGCCTCCTGGCTCCGGCCGCAAGCAAAGGCTAGCTTCCATAGGTAACGGATCTCTTGCTTTGCAGCCCTTCTGCAGATTAGCCTCACATGTCTGCGTAGGCATATATATATATAATTCCACTTCAGTATATTTGGGGATTGTTTATTGCTTCAGATGACTTGGAACCTTCAGGATTAAAAAAAAAAAAGCGATGGAATTTTTTTAATATTGACTGTGGATTGGGAATACAATTGTTTATTCCGGCGTGTGAATACGACGGAATGTGTAAAATATCCCTTTGGATATTTCGTGATTACAAATCTAGATCACAGAACCTGTGATTAGGGTTCATGCCTTTTTTCCTGATCAGAAATGGGTCTTTTTTCTGGATTTTGATTTCTAGGTGAATTGATGCCTTCGTCTTCAGGGATGAGCTTCACACCCCATGTCATTACAGTTTCCGTAGGCGAAGTATACTCCTCCTCCTGTAGATTTCTCCTATCAGATTGTATTATATATGTATACATATACATATCCAAGATTCTTCTGTTTGCCAAAATCTTCCCGATCTTGTTCATAGGACATTGCAGCAAAGGTGTCAGCCTTCTCCCAGCAAGGTCCGAGGGCCATTTGCATCTTATCTGCAAGTGGTGCCGTCTCTACTGCGACACTCCATCAGTCTTCATCTTCCCCAGCGACCATCACATACGAGGTCGTTGTAGTTTCTGTCATATGGAAAAAAACATGCTTGCTCGCTGTCTTTTTGACATGTTGTATCTTTGGTGGATCTTTAGGGCCGGTTCGAGATCCTGTCTCTGTCTGCATCTTATCTGGTCACAATCGACGGAAGCTACCGGAATCGGGCTGGAAATCTCTCGGTCTCGCTCGCTAGCCCAGATGGACGCGTCATTGGCGGTGGAATCGGAGGGCCACTACCCCCCCCCCCCCCCCCCTGTCTTGTGAGCACGTTCCTTTCATTCGATGAATATAGAACGTTATATGCTTATGGCATGGCATGGCAGGTGATCGTGGGGAGCTTCATATGGGCGACATCTAAGGTGAAGAGCAAGAAACGAGAAGACGAAGCTTCCGAGGTTGTCCAAGACACTGACGATCAAGCCCTCGACAACAACACGGTCCCCCCCTTGCCACAGCCGAGCCAGAACATCATTCCGACATCGGTAGGCATGTGGTCCACTGGCTCACGTCCCATGGACATGCGCCATGCCCACATGGACATTGACCTGATGCGTGGATGACAAATGAAACAGCTCTCTTCTCTTTTTCCCCCCCTTCGTCCGTATATATAAGCATGGAAACTTTAGGAAGACGAGGATGGAGAAGAACGACGAATGATAAATCTAACCTCAAGACAGTACTGTGTTTGAACGTTAGGCTTGGACTCATTTTTAGCTGACAGTTTCATCATTTCGGTTCCTCTGACTTGTGTCTGAACAGTGTTGTCTTTATTGTTTTCAATGTCGTCGGTTGGATTCTGCATGATTCAGTTGAAACCCAACAAAAAAAAAGTATCTTTTATTACCAAATTTCATATTATTCTAAAAAGATTCAAGCTTTGTTGTTGACGTCACGCCAATACTCATCCTCCCAAATTTGGACTTGTCGCGTGGCGTTAGCCTTTGTCTGGAGAACCTCTTTTAGAGCCAGAGGGTCGTATGGGGGAGGCATAACACAAGGGGACCTTTCACTCGGAGACATCACCATCGATTCCGACATGAACTCCCTCCACCGTCCCGTCGCTGGACATCCCATGTTTTCCGGAGTTATCTCCTTCCCACCTCTTGGGATCTCCGGTCTGAACTTCAGCAGCTTGGCGTACTCGTTTAGCAAGTGGAACATGTAGTCGTACACGAACTCCATTTTCACTTCCTCTCGTATGAATCTACTCCCTGCTTCTGCAATCTCACGCGCCTACATCAGACAAAAAAAAAACCCAAATTAAGATTCTGTAACATGAACAAGACGAAAAGGGTTATGAACGATTCATATATATTTGGAGATTGACCTTTTCGAAATGGTTATTGCCCCAATGGACGGCGAATTTGAGAGAAATGCACTTGGAGTCGTCTCTGATGGGCCAATAGTGCCGCAATGGCACCATCCCTCTCACGTAAAAATCATAAAAACGCGGCTTGACGTACAACGTCATGGAGTCACAAGCCATGATGTACTTCTCGCTCACCGACCATGCCCATCCTTCTATATATATCTTGTATCTGTCTTTACCCGAAAAAAAAACACGTGTTCAGATTATTGTTTTCGTTATTTTCATCACTGAATTATGTAAATTTCATTTAAAAAAATATGCAAACACTGACGCTACCACATTACCTGTGGTTGCACTGGTTTTCTAAGTTTGAGTTCTTGAATCCTTCTTTGTTTTCTCTCTCCCAATCCTTCACGTAATTAGATATAACATATATACACATATATATATATATATATACGTGTGTGTGTGTTTATGTTTCGTACAAATATAGAACCAAGATCACCTGAATATAGAGACGGGTGTTCCAACCCTCCCGGTCGGAGACGTTGCACCGGAGAAGATCGATTCGGGTGGGGTCCACGTTCGGGTTCCCTTTCCAATAAGCGTACGGTATCCTATCCTCCCATTGGCTCTTCTTGTTCCCTTCTTCTATGGCCTCCAGAGATTTTTCCCACGGTTTTATATTCACTTCCGCCCTGGGCTCAATGAAAAGGCCCATTTTATTAATTAAGAAGGCCCATTAACGGCCCATGATCAGCAACGACTTACCAGCCCCAGAAGGACCAATCGGGGAAGACGATGTCCAAGCTGGCGTCGTCGGAGCAGTAACGGAACAGAGGAGGTGGGCCCGCTCGTTGACCCAGGAAGTCATCAGATCGGACGGTGGGGCGGTCGCCGCAGTCAAACATGAGCTCGAGATCAGGCAATCTCCCGGGGTACCACCGTAACAGCTGTAGGATTCCCCACAGCGTAAAAACGTCTCTGGTCTGAATCGCTTCCCTGTACTTCTCAACGTACACCCTACCGTCGAGGATGACCAGCCTGAAATTAGCGGTCTCCTTGGACCGTTCGATCATGTCTCGGGTGATTCCCGCCTCTTTCCACGGCCGTAGATCCTCGTGGATCCAACGGAAGTAAGATGGACACGTCACGTTTGATCGACGGCTGCGATTGGTTTCCCCGGACTTGGGAACACGCACCGTTTGTTTCTCCACGACGTCGCATTTGTCGGGAAATTCGTGCTTCGTGTTCGCCGTTGCTCTTAGCGTGAAACCTGTAAAAGTGGTCTGAAAGCGAATATTATTATTTGGTGTTACATATATATATATATATAAGCTTTATATATGTATGTATATACACTTACCAAATCAAGGAAACCCAAGAAGTCGAAGAGACCAGCCAATATGAACAGCAAAGAGACGACGATGACAGTAGTCTTGGCTATGCTCTTTCCTCGATACGGCGCCGTTGTGGATATGGAACGTCGGTTCATCGTCTGATATTGTTGGTCGTTCCTCTTCATCTCGCCTCTTTTTTTCTCCTTGGCAATTTCCACATGAATATATACATATATATATATATACACGTCTTTTATATTTATGTAAATACATGCGTATATATTACAGGATCATTGGAACAAGGACATATACAAACGTGGTTACAAATACATATGACCCAGAAAAAAAACAACCGATAAAAAGGCCAAAACCTTTGTTTGAGCTTTTCCACGAGGATCGGTTGACGTTCCTTATTCATAGTTAATGGTTTTCCACGATCTCTTAGGTATAATATAATATCATTACTTACAAAATAGAATAAATGCGCAGCTTTTGCAAATTTCATGCGTACGGTGTTTTTTGCTCGTCGGTTCATATTTTTCACGTAAAATGAAAAAAGAAAGAGCCAAAAATTAATTAAAAAAAATGCTTCTACTTTCTTCACTAAATAAACGTGTTCTGGCTACGTTTTTGCATATCTTAAAACGATAGTTAGCAATGGATTACTTAAATAATTTAATCGGTATAAATGGGTATCAATTTTGGCTCGAGATCCGAACACTACAAGGAAAACTGTATTTACCGACGGATATTGCGACGGAAATTGCGTCGCTTTAGATTTATGCGATGGACAACGACGGATATGGGACGGATTTGCATCAGTCGTAAGCCGTCGCGCAATCCGTCGACAAATTTCGACACCAACCGACAGATATTTCCGTCGGTAATTTTGTCAGACGGATTGCGACGGACTGCGACCGATATTTGCAACCGAACTTTCGTCGGAAAAGTATGCGACGGATTGGGACGAATATATTGCGTCGCACAGAAGTAGCGACGGATGGGGACAGACATTTCCGTTGGGACTGCGACTGATTCGGTGCGTCGTAGGTAGTTAAACACGTTTTATTCGTTTTGACCTAATTCCGTCGCATTCCGTTGTGCGTCCGTCGCAATATGTGGAGTCCGTCGCTTTCCGTCGCATTTCCGTCGCACGTTCCAAATCTATTTAACAACCACGCGATGGAGTCTTGATGGCAAAGGAAAAAAAATAGAAAGTGACAAAAAAATGTCTTTTTATTCTCGACAATGGATGTATGAAAGAATTGATTCTATTACGAATCAAATCTCAAAGCAATATGAAGAAGGGTTGGAGAGCGAAAAGCTTGCCTTGTCCGTGTGTAAAGTGTCAGAATAAAAAATGGCGGAGTTTGAATGAAGTGTGGAAATCACTTATACCGTAAAGATTTCATGCCGAATTATTTTGTTTGGCTTGCACATGGAGAAACCTATGATACATCATCATCACAAGATGTACATATGGTTGGATATGAAGAAATCAATAATACGACGTCGAAGATGACATTTGGAGAAGAAATAAGGAATCCATACACGGAAATGGTGAGTGATGCATTTTCCAACATCGTTCCATCGCCCCACATGGAGGAGGAACCCAACGTAGAAGCAAAAAAGTTTTATGGTATGCTTCATACGGCGAATACGGCGATATACGATGGATGCGTCCAAGGTCTTTCAAGGTTATCATTATCTTCACAGTTGATGAATATGAACACAGATTATAATCTTCCAGAAAGGTGTATGGACGGTTTCACCCAGATGTTTAAACATTATCTCCCAGAAGGTAACACTGCACCTGAATCTTATTATGAAACTAAGAGTTTAATGCGGACGTTGGGTTTACCGTATCAGAAGATTGATGTGTGCGAGAACAACTGTATGATTTTCTGGAAAGACGATTCAGATCTGATGCAATGTCGGTTCTGTAACAAAGACAGATACCGACCACGACGAAAATCTTCAAAAAAAGGCAAGTTAATTCCTTTTAAAAGAATGTTTTATATGCCATTAACGGATCGATTAAAGCGGTTATATCAATCCGAGAAGACTGCATCACATATGCGCTGGCACGCGGAACATTGTACTCCAGAAGGAGAAATGCATCATCCATCTGATGGATTGGCTTGGAAACATTTTCAACAGGTATTTTCTGATTTCGCAAGCGAGTCTAGAAATGTATATTTAACATTATGTACGGATGGGTTTAATCCATTTGGAATGTCTGGTCCGAATTACTCTATGTGGCCGGTGATTCTGACACCATACAATTTGCCTCCGGACATGTGCATGAATAGAGAGTTTTTGTTCCTGTCGATATTAGTGTCGGGGCCTAAACATCCTAGAAAAAGTCTAGATGTGTTTCTTCAACCGCTTATTGAAAAGTTGACCAATTTGTGGCTCATTGGTGCCGAGGCATATGATGTGTCGATTATGCAAAATTTCTTACTTCGTGTCGTATTGATGTGGACCATCAGTCATTTTCCAGCGTATTCAATGTTGTCTGGCTGGACAACACATGGGCAGCTAGCTTGTCCTTATTGCACGGATGAGACTGATTCATTTTGGTTGCAGTACGGGAGAAAGATGTGCTGGTTTGATTGTCATCGTCGTTTTCTCCCGAGCAATCATGTGTTACGGCGTAACAAGAAGAATTTTCGTAAGAATAGGGTCATAAATGACACTGCTCCGCTTGAGCTTACAGGTGATGAAATACTATTTGAAAGACTGGAAGATTGCGTGAGTTCATATGGATTAGCAAAAACAGCAGACGTCGGCGGGAATGACCATTTGCAGATAGAAGGGTATGGTAATTTTCACAACTGACACAAAAAAAGTATATTTTGGGAATCGCCTTACTGGAGACATCATAAGTTACGACACAATCTTGATGTTATGCATATTGAAAAGAATTTTTTCGATAACATCATTAATACGGTACTGAATGTTCCCGGAAGATCAAAGGACAATGTCCGTCGGATGGAAAGAACTAGAGTTGACATCGGATGGAAAGGCACCCGTCCCGATATTTCGGGTTTATGGAGAAGCTCAGAGAAACTTCTTCAAATGGTTGAAAGAAGATGTGAAATTTCCAGATGGATATTCTTCAAACATCTCTCGATGTGTTGATATTGAAGGAAATAAATTGATAGGTATGAAAAGTCATGATTGCCACGTCTTCATGCAGCGCTTACTTCCTATTGCCTTTGCCGATATACTTCCACAGAATGTACACGAAGCTTTATCAGGTTTGAATTAATTAATTACTGAAGCAGTTTTTATAGATATATCTATATATTATTTTTTATATTACGGTTATACTTCCACATAATTTTTTTTATTTTGATTTATCTTTTAGGAATCGGCATATTCTTCCACGAGTTATGTAGTCGGACGTTACGAGTTGAAGATGTCGAGATCTTGAAGCAAAATATCAGTTTAGTCTTGTGCAATCTAGAGAAGATATTTCCACCATCCTTTTTCGATGTCATGGAACATTTACCGATCTACCTACCACGAGAAGCTGAACTAGGGTGACCAGTTCAATTTAGGTATATATTTTTGTTTAATTATTTAATATACATGAATAAATTAATAATTCATATTTGTATTTGAAATGATTATTTTTCTGTATATTTAGATGGATGTATCCGTTCGAACGGTTCATGTACCATTTGAAGAAAAAGGCGAAACAAAAGGCTTTTGTGGAAGGATCAATCGCTGAACAATATATAAATGAGGAGATATCATTCTTCACATCATACTACTTTGAAGATCATGTTTTGACAAAGAACAGAAGTCAGAATCGGTCATTCCAGTGCGATGATGGACCCTCTTATTCGATGCATGTAGACATACCTGAGATTTTCTACAGAAAAGGGCGATGTGGTGGTAAATCGACTGATTCATATCTATCTGACAGAGATTACCATGTCATTCATACCTACGTATTGTTGAATTGTGAATATATTCTACCGTTTGAGAGGTTAGTACATTACACAAATTACTGTATATAGAGAATATATATACTCTCCTACGTAAATAATATTTTTACTGTATGTGTCAGGGTTTATGACGATGAAGTATATAATACTTATGGTCATCAAATATCTGCTGAAGAACTGAGTAAGATTAAAGAGAATGGATTTGCAACATGGTTGCAACAATATGTAAGTTATATTACGACATCTATATTTCAAACATCATTACTTGTAAGCCGATATGTCCAGGATACTGAAGCTGTATAATTTGTTGTAAAGTACCATAAAAATCTGGTTCATCACCGGAAGCGCAGTAGTTCGAGCCTTTAACACATACTCCGTAGTTGAGGGTTGAACGATGTTCTCCGTGTTCATATGTATGAAAAACATAACCCCTGGTAAAGAAAATCGGCCAACATTTGAGTCGACGAAGTGGACCTTGCACTAATTCGTATAACCATAACGGATGATCTTCGGATGACGACTCGATCTGCCAAAAAAACAAATTTATTAGTTAATGATACGTACACATATATTATGAAATATAGATGTCGTAATATAACTTACATATTGTTGCAACCATGTTGCAAATCCATTCTCTTTAATCTTGCTCAGTTCTTCAGCAGATATTTGATGACCATAAGTATTATATACTTCATCGTCATAAACCCTGACACATACAGTATAAACGGATGATTTACGTAGGAGAGTATATATATTCTCTATATACAGTAATTTGTGTAATGTACTAACCTCTCAAACGGTAGAATATATTCACAATTCAACAATACGTAGGTATGAATGACATGGTAATCTCTGTCAGATAGATATGAATCTGTCGATTTACCACCACATCGCCCTTTTCTGTAGAAAATCTCAGGTATGTCTACATGCATCGAATAAGAGGGTCCATCATCGCACTGGAATGACCGATTCTGACTTCTGTTCTTTGTCAAAACATGATCTTCAAAGTAGTATGATGTGAAGAATGATATCTCCTCATTTATATATTGTTCAGCGATTGATCCTTCCACAAAAGCCTTTTGTTTCGCCTTTTTCTTCAAATGGTACATGAACCGTTCGAACGGATACATCCATCTAAATATACAGAAAAATAATCATTTCAAATACAAATATGAATTATTAATTTATTCATGTATATTAAATAATTAAACAAAAATATATACCTAAATTGAACTGGTCCCCCTAGTTCAGCT